ACGAATATGTTGGTGAAGTGTTGTTGAATAAATTAGTTCTTGTTACTATTATCCTTGCCAATCAGATCAAGGGCCGTTGCGTACTCAACCAGCGGCAACTCGAAGCAAAATTATCCAACTGCTGTGAAACGCGAGGAAACATGCAAAGATTGTTAAGCGGGGAAAATGCTTTCGGTGGTAAGCGCAGCAAAACGTGTAACTTCTGTCAAGCGCGGGAAACACGCTTCCGGTAACCAGTGCGGAAAAACATGCTTCCGGTAACAAGCGCGGGAAAACATGCTTCCGGTAACTAGCGTGGGAAAACATGCTTCCGGCGACAAGCACAGGAAAACATGCAACGGGTAACAAGCGTGGGAAAACATACAACCAATTGTCAAGCACGGGAAAACTGGCAACTGCTGAAGAGAGCGGGAAAAAGTTCTTCCAGTGTCAAATGCGGGAAAACATGCAAGTGCCTACGAGGGTACGGAAACATGTAGCCAGTGTCCGACACGGAATTAAATGTAACCAGTGTCGTACGCGGGAAAACGTTATAACCGCAGTCAAGCGCGGGAAAATTCACGTAACCCAATCACGACTGGATTTTGATTGGTTGAAAGTATGATGATTGCTTTTGATTGGATGAAAAATACCTGGTATGTTGGCTGTGATGTTACAGAACTTTGAACGATTTTTTTTCCCCGACCAATTATAAAGCGTGGTTAAACTTCTTTATTGTAAGTATTACTCACCCCAGGGTAGTCATGGAAACAAATGACCACCAAACTCCTTCCCAGGTGCCCCGAAGGAACGACTGAGGGAAATCGTCAGGGTTATTTTTTCTTTCCTGGTAATGACAAAGCAAAGAAAAAAGTCTTTTATACGCACTTTACGGTTGCGGAGAATGAAACAAAATCACTTCGAGCAAGTGTCAGATATAGCTTTGATGTAACTGCGTTTTAAAGAACCCTTTATTCTTATGCTGGACAAGAAAAAAGAGACATTTTGATTTGATATCATCGATGGCTTATACTCCAGGTGAAGCGATGGCACTGGTTTGGTGTGTAGCCCAAGTCAACTGCTGAGCAGCGAAATCGTTCCAACTGAGAGTGCTTCGCACTGTGATTAAATGGTGTTAAAGGCGAAATCCGATACGAAATCGAGCAATTTCAGTTTTTTAAAGGACAAAAACCTGGTACCAGAATAATTGTAGGTATTTTGCAGTTCTTTGTACATTTTCTTGAAGCTTAAGATATAAATAGCTGCCTGAAATAAAACCGAAAACATTTTCCAATGGAAACTCGAGAAAATAAATTTCAAAGTTCAGAGAAATTTGTGCAAACACAGGAGAAATTTCATCACCAATTTCATTTCACCAGGACTTTCAGGTGTTTCATATGAGCTTCAAAATTTGTTTTTGACATTTGATGTTGTTAAAAATGACTATTTTCAGAAGATATTTCAAACAGTCGCACAGAAGTTTCCGCAACGATGTAAATAATTTCGATACAAGGTTTTTGTCCACTTGTTGCTCGAACTTCAGGTGGATTCCTTCTTAAACGTTTCGTTTCTGATGAGAACAAACAAACATCTACTCACCAAACACCATATGATTACGCCCGCAATGTAAGCTGTAACTATGGGAAGAATAAACACAGGAAGACAATTGAGCAGCATGTGAAACATTGTGGTTTGAGTCGTAGAGACTTCTGGGTATACTATAAAAGCCACGCCTGCGGACTCTATAACTGGAGTATAGCCAAAGCCCCCTTTGTAAGAATCTTGGTCTTTGTGACCGTAAACAGGAAAAGCGAAATCTGTCAATTCATCCATTTCTTCTAGGAGTTTGCGGCTCGAGTTTTTCGTTGATGACTCGTTCCTGCCGTTTGTTCCAAAATCAAGGACGGTTTGATTAGGGTCGCGACAATGTCCGCAGCATTCTTTCACCATGGACTGCAGGACTAGCGGAATGATTTGACCAGGTTTGCCATCTTCTGTGAAGTTGACATACGGTGCGTAACGTCGCCAACTTGTCGAAAGACGACCCAGGCAGTGACAAGTCTCTGAAATAAAAACAAAGAAACAGGCGTTTAAATTGTGGAATAAGTGAATAAAGATGGTGAATTTTAAGCTCGGTAATGAAATGTGAAAAGTGAACTGATCAACATGACACAAGCGTGGGACAAAGAAAAAAATCTGTGTCCCCAACAGGAATCGAACCCATGACCTCCCGACCACGTGGCGAGCGCTCAATCCACTGAGCTACGAGAACTCATGGAGAGCAAGGTCATTTAGCTGAGTTCATATGTGACAGGTGTCCTGCATACTGCTTAGATCAGCACTGTCGAAGTCATTGTGAGTGGGATAAGTGAGTAAAGATGGGGATTTGATCAGTTCACTTTTCACTTTTTATTACCGAGCTTAAAATTCACCATCTTTGTTCACTTATAGCTCAGCTCAGTGGGTAGAGCGCCCGTCCAGTGTTCGAGAGTTCATGGTTTCGATTCCTGTCGGGGACTTTTCTTTGTCCCACGCTCGTGTCATGTTGATCAGTTCACTTTTTACAAGCGTTAAGATTGTTTGTTTGTTTTTGTGAACGGCGTCAAGGGAAATGTAGCCAAAGTTGTGTTTCGATGCAGATTTCGAGTAGGCAAGAGTATCTAACTGTTTCTGATCAGCTTGGCTATAAAAAAATCGTTTCTTAATCAAATTAACACCAGGCATTGAGACTTGAACTGCAATTTTGGCAACGCGTACATCTTTTGAGTGAAATAGCCGCTGCCATGACAGCAACAATATGAAAATCTCAATTTTAGTAAAACGCGAGTTTTTGCACGATCTAGAAGTGCTCAATATACAAAAATCAGCCAAAACATTCCCTCAGTTTGATTTGTAAGAATTTTCAAACCATTTTAATATGATGGTGTAACTCATAATAGGGTATATTGCGCGATCAGTTATTCACGAAGTCAATATTTTCAGCTTATTTATCTAGTAAACAAGTAGTCAGTCGATTGAGATACTGTCTGTGGTGTTCATCTTTTAGATATCAAAATGACAAAATCTGCTGTGACTTTGTTGCGATCCCTAATACAGCACCATAATTTTTAGCTCAGGTATAGGCACATTTTTTTTCTAGGCCTATTTGCAAACACTATCGCCATGAAACGTTTTTTTTTATTATTATTATTATTTCCTGCCATTTCCTTGTTATTTAATCTAGAGTTCAATCATCTAATCCAAAATCCTTGTAATTTCTTTAAAAAACAACAACACAAAAACAAAGCAAAAAAACGAGAGAACGAGCTTACCGCCGTAAGTAAACGGCGTATACGGTCCCAGTCCTTTAGCCGTTTTTGCTGCGACTCTGATTTTGTACTTGGAATAAGGCTCCAGATTTTCCAACGTTACAGTTTCCACGCTAACTGTCTCTTGTAGCTCGAGCTCAAAATCCTTACGTACGCCGCCAACCATCACTCGCTGATAGGTCACGTGATAACTTAACAGTTTTCCGTTCATAAATTTCCGGGGGACTTTTTTCCAGGTCACCTGGATCTTGTGAGGTGACATATAGCTAATGGCTTTAACGTCTCGAGGAGGTTTACTAGGTACTAGGGAGAAAAAAAAAAATATTAGAGGTTAACTCAAGTTGGTGGCTTGTTACAACTTTCATCTTTCTGGAAAAATTACCAAAATCGTTTCCTTTCCTAAGGTTTCCTCTCGATCGTATAACCATCTTAAATGAACAACTCCACCAAACAACAGCAACAGCCGCAAATTTTTGCCAATTTTAAGCATCAGGGCTTGGCCGCTACGTTCGCATTGTTGATCGCTATACTTTGCACTTGTTGTTGCAGTGAAAATAAAGCCTATTAAGATTTTAAAGTGGTACTATGACAAAAATCCCATCTTTCCTATCTATGCCATTTTAAAACATAAACGAGTAGCCTGCATCAGAAGAAAAATGCTGTTTACTTTTTTCATATATCTCTTTTCGCTCCAGAGATACTCAAGTTTTTAAAATATGCAAATTATACACTGATGACGTCATACACTCAACCAAATTTTCATCAAATATAATGAAGAAAGATATCTCAGCCAATTTGTATAAGAAATGTTTGATTCTTTGCAGTAAGATTCTGCTAAATGTGCTCCGCAACATGAGCTTGACAGTTTTGTTACCATAGCAACATACTGGGTTCCAGACCTCCCCAATATAAATGGCTTTTCTGGCCACCTTTGGCATTCTATTTTGATATTTGCTGATGGTGCCTCATATGCATGATCCAGCAAGCATATGAATATGTTAGGTCGAGTTCATGGCCTTTTTAAATATTTTTCGAGCTGAAAATCACTAAAATATTGAAATCAAGTAGGTGGGGACTGGAAAAGAGTGAGTTGCCATGGGAACAAAATTTTTTGTTGCTGTAGGTGTGTTATCTGTAGAACTATTAGCCTACCGAGTTTCAGGGGTCTGTGCTGGAAATTGACCAAGACAGCTCTATTTATATACTTGATGTACTATTGGTTTGAGCATATGATCATTATGATGTCATCAGCTATCTCATTTGCATATTTTACACATTTTTCAAACTTAAATATCTCCGGAACGAATGCAGATATTTGCAAACGGTAAACGGCATTTTTATTCTTTCATGCCATTCTATGTGATACACCAAAAAAATCAAGGGGTAAAAATTTGATRATAGTACCACTTTAAGGACAACCTTCCGGAAATAGGCAAATCCAAATAGTAGTTTAAGAGAAATAAGTAACTAATCACCGAACGAAAAGTCTCGATATTTAAGAAAAACTTGTACCGTGTTTGTATCGAGTTATAGAAACACGAGTGGAAGTTTGGGAGAAGGAGAAATGCTATGGGAACACTAGCCGACAGTCGAGTGTTCCACAGCTTTTTATCAACTATCACCTCATTGAAATTGAGAGCGAATAATTAATTGTTTATTATAAATCTACAAGTCGCTCAAAACCTTATCTAAATCCTCTTCACAGACACGTCGAAAACGCAAAGAAGTAGCCGCCATTTTGTTAACAAGCGCACGCTGCTAGGCTACTTACTATCTACAACAGAATAGAGAGTGAGTAGCGTAGCCAATCAGCGAATGAGATTAGCTAACAGATTTATACTAAAACTTGATAGAAATACGGAGAACATGTTTTCTATTTCTTTTAGAAAATTCCGCGTGGAAAATAAAAACATCATCAAAATATAAATTCTCTTTGCTCGCGCCATCATTACGTCAACAGCTCATGCTAGTTCTGTGTCTCTATCAAACCAATCAGCGCGTGCGTGTATTTTCTTAACGAGTCCATATGTAGCCGCAACTTGCATGGAGACCTGCGTTGGGTGGCAATACGGACTAGCAAGTTTCCTCACAAGTACAAGTCGCAAAAGAAAAACATTTCAAGGCCATCTCTCGCAGACATACCCTGTGTTTCATTGGCTAATAGGTTGCCATAACAACGACTGGACGTCACTCAACTTGCGTCGACTTGCGTGCATAAATTTGATCTCGACTAAAGTGAGCGCAAGTCAACGCAAGTGCACACAAGTCCTTGCCAAACGGAATCGCAAGTAGACCCAAGTTTTCAACTTGCGTCTTCTTGCGAGTCCGTTTGCTCAAATCTTTAAAAACGATATTCTCCCAAAGAGAATGATAGGAACTGAATGGAACACAGTATGGAGAATTTCGATGTTGATACTTACTATCGTCACTGGTGTTAAACGAAATGTAGTCAACTTTCCCATTGCCTGCTCTGGTGTATGCCAAAATCTTGACGTGGTATTCTGTGAATTTATCAAGTGACTTGAGCTGAACTGAAAAGAAATCATGAGGCTTTGTTTCGGTCTGTTGATAAGTATGGTTGCGTGCTTGATAGTAGGTTATGCGGTAACCCAGTATTTTACCGTTACGCGACTCTTCGGGAACTGGATTCCAGCTGATTTCTACAAACTTGTCCAGGATGTTCGCGTCAATGTTAGCCGGTGGTTTCGTGGGAACTAGATAGAGAAAAAACATGGAGGGTTATACGTGGATATTTTTTACAAACCGATTGAAAAGATGACCATGTCAATCTCGTCCCCAAATATTTGTTTCTAGGCATGCGTAGAGAGAGCAACCGCCGTCACCTTTAAGAAGTGCTTTTGTTATGTGTTTGGGAACGACAGTTCAAAGTATTAATGCAATTTGCGCAACAAACTTTTTTCAGATAGTCTCCTTTGTCTGGGCAATTCATCCAGACCTTACCAATACCACATTTTTTAAAATTTATATTTATACATAGCTTGATGGTATAAAAAATCAAACGTACCTCGTCATATGGTCGGATGTTAACCATCCTTGTTAGGTTGACATAGTTATGTTAATTTTAAGTAGCGGATTCAGACCTTGCGCTAAAGCGGGGGGGGGGGGGGGGG